GGTCACACTTTATTCTCCAGCCTTGAAGGTCACAAAAGCCATTTCCATAAATTATATAGCCTTCTTGTTACACATCAATAGATTTGTTTAGATATGTTCATGTTGATTTTGTTCAGGTGTTGAAATTGTTAATGGGCAGCAGTTTATTTCTTCTCACACTTCTTTGGGAGATAAAGGGGGAAAGTCTTCAAAAATTTAAGACCAAAAGTCTTGAAGACTTTTCACAAAGAAGTATCAGGACTGCCCTTAAAGTGTAATCAAAGGCATTACAAAATTACCGTACTTATTCTTCATGAAGAGACAGTATTTGACTTGGACCAGAGTACAATGGTAGGTTACACCGGCTAAGAACCCGGGCCGTAAGATCAGACATCTAGAGCCTACTCCTTTTTCTGTTTCTTACAGCTGTGTAAACTTGAGCAAATTTAACCTCTCTAAACCTGTCTCCCCTGCATCATGTAAGTATCTATCTCATGTCTGAGGATAGAGCTGACATAAAACTAAGACCCAGCACACAGTGACAAGCATCTTTGAAACCATATTATAGTTGCAAACCACCTTATGCTTTGAGAAATATATGATGGACAAAATAAATTTCTTAGTGGGTACTGACTCTGGATTGTCAGCAAAATAGTAATTAAAAGTGAAGCCCATAAAATTTCTCAAATTGGCTATTTTTGCACTGGCAGCTCACATTTATTTACAAGTTAAAAACCTTTACAGAGCTGGGCATAGTGGCTCACGCCCATAATCCCAGTACTTTGGGAGGCTGAGGTGGAAGGATCACTTGAGGTCAGGAGTTTGAGACCAGCCTGGGGAACATAGCAAGACCCCCGTCTCTAAAAAATTTTTAATTAGCTGTAGTGACTAATTTTTAATTAGTGGCTGTAGTCCCAGCCAGTCAGGAGGCTGCAGCAGGATGGCTTGAGCCCAGGATTTCAAGGCTGCAGTGAGCGGATTGCACTACTGCTCCCCAGCCTGGGCAAAAGGGCAACACCCTGTTTCTAAAAACAAAACAAAACCACCTTTACTGCTGTTCTAGCAATCCTAACTTTACAAACATAGCTTTTGTATTACGCAATATCTGACAGCGACTCTTGCAATTTGTTTTTAAAGGAAAATAAACAAGAATCTCGAAGTTTCTTTGTATCACAGGACCTAAAATGTTAATTAAATCTATTGTTTATACAACTTTGGCATTTAAAAGCCTATAAGCAGTTCTCTGGTGGCAGATTAAGATGTCTGGAACTTAAAAGAATACATGTCATGCCAGGTCTCCACCTCATAAGAATTCAGCATCTCTGGGGGTGCTGTTCAGGTATCCGTATCTTTTATGTTTTTGTTTTTTGTTTTGAGACAGGTTCTCACTCTGTCGCCCAGGCTGGAGTGCAACGGCACTATCATAGCTCACTGCAGCTTTGAACTCCTGGGCTCAAAAAAAAGATCCTCCCACCTGAGCCTCCTGAGTAGCTGGGACTACAGGCCACCACGCCCAGCCTATGTTTTTAAGCTCATCACGAGTTCATGTAGTGCCATAGTTGAATTCCACTGCTAAGAACAAAACAGATCGTTATCGTAATAGTTCCCTGCACCTTTCAAGATGGGTGTTATGTTACCAGAGCTGGAAGAAATTGAGTTTCAAAACAAATGAAATGTGATAATAGGAGGGCATGCATAACTAGAACGGGAATTGCCAGGAAGCCAAGCCAATCAAGTGTGACATTATCAAATGTCCATAACCTTAAGAAAGTGACTGTAAAAATAAAGCAAAAAAACTTTTGCAGTCACTTATACTTGGTTTCCGATAAACCAGAGAAATTATTTTAAGTGGAAAAAATGGTACATGATGTTGTAATTCATGATGCTTAAAGAGCATTATAGGGAAATAGATGAAATGTTCCTAG